TGGCTTTCACCATCCATCGCCTTCTCCACAATCCTGCGGGTTGATAAGTGAACCTGGGCCGATAGAAACCATCTTCATATTTCGATGATGAATTTACCGGCTGACGGCACGCCCCAAACATTATTATGATTATTGATTATGCATTCGCGGAGGATTTAGAATAGAAGCGATAAGTAACGCATGCTCGATGAATCATGTGGATCGATGCTACCGGGTGTGGACGACGCGTCTTTTTCACCGTCAGTCCATCAAGGAGGATCCTCGCGAAGAGGCTCTTGGTGCTGTCCTATCGGTTCAAACTCCCCTTGCCCGGCACGTTCATATCGCGGGGAACTCGTCCAAAAATTCTCCTCCCAAAGATCACATATGTCCTCACTACGAAAACTCCGACAACTGCGAAGCGGGCGAGGAGAAACCGAGTCGGGTCCAACTTCCTCGCCGAGATCCGACCGAATAGGTTGTTTGAAAAATTGAATTTTTCCAGGAATAGTTCCCCCCGCGCCGTCGGCGTATCTCCGGGAGCCTGGTTCCCGTCTGATTCATCAGCGATATGGATGCTGCGTTTCGCATCGATGTCAAATAATTATTATTCTTCTCGAGCCTTCGGCACGCCTCCGGCTGTCTTCCCGCGGCTTCTGTCATTCCTCATGGTCCATCATTAAATCGACCGGGAAGACACGGATAGATTTGTCGAGGATTCGAAATCGAAGGTTCTCACGAATATCTATATCGAACGCTCTTTTCAAAGATCTGGATACGACAACAAATACGTACAACGGATTGACGGCGTTTGAACTCGATGAACGCCCTCCATCTCCATGAACTGTAGGGAATTGTTCCATGTCGACCCAGGCAAGAGGTATGGGATGATTCGAAATGAAGCGATTCCGGGCGCTCCTTCTCTTTCCCCAGCTCACCTTTCCCCCTGTTCGTGGGCAAAACCAAGGGGCTCGGCCAGCGGCGAGGGAATTTTCCCCACCGTGAAAACTCTACGGAGATTGCAGGTATCGGGACCGTATCGCACGTGCTACGGCAAAACCACGGCCGAGTCAGCTGTCGGACCATCTCAGCCAGACGGCTGCACGAGGCGAAGAAAGACGAGCGAACGAAGACCAGCAGCGCCAGGAGCCTTTCCGCTTTCGGCGGTTCAGACGAAAGCACGGCATGAAAGCTTTTCCCTTGTCGTGGCAGTTGGAGGCGTCGTTTCCAAGCTCCTTGAGAGTCTCAGGAAACTGTTCGCGGATTCGCACGATCCGCATCTGTTCTTCTCTCACCAGGAGCGGCCCCGGAAAACTTCTCTTGAGTAAAGAGAAAGACGAGGGAAAAGAGCGGGATGACAAAGGTATGACGGACAGATACTCGCGAGCTCCCGCGTGGCTTCTGGCAGGAAGAAGAAGAAGTCCTCTCCGAAGGTCGTCGACTCGGGGGGCGATAAGGGAGAACCAGTCGCGGTGAGTGACGAAGAGAGCTCGTCCTGAAAACTCGGCGATCTATCTGGTGTGAGTGAGCTAGTTCCACAGTTGGTTCCGCTGGGCGTTCCGCATCGTTTTCCTCGTCATTCTCTTTTTTTCCCCCCAAGCTTTCGAAATCTCGACCGATTTGAGCGAGGATCCCCCTCTCGATGATGGCATAAAGCGGCTGACAAGCTGTCCGGAGCCGCTGTGCGGGAGTGCGGCGGCCACGGCCCTTCCACGAAGTTGGGTATCTTCCGCGAATGCTATGAATAGTCTCGTTGAGGTCAATGGGCAACATTTTGGGCGCGCCTTCTCGAGCTCGTAGGACACACCGACGACGTGCAGCTGGGCTATTTGCACGATACACAGCAGCGCTCTTCCGGCTGACTTGCGCCAGATTGACTTCCACTTTTAGTGGCGGCCCTTAAACGACTTCCTCAATGATACCGCTGCGTGGATGAAGAGTTCTGTGGTCTGTTTGTTGCGGTGAGCGGCGGAGGGACTGCTCTATCGACCGGGAATCAGGGAACCAACGATATTTCGAGATACAGGCTGCCTGATGGCTCTTGACACTAATTTTGCTTTAATGAAGCGTGGTTTCTTGCATATTAAATGAATGCGCTCATCCCGGGCCCTCTGTGTTCCCGGGTCTCCTTTTCCTCTCCCAGAGCTCTGGGAGGAGTTGGGTCCATCTTGAAGACCGATACGTGGGCAGCGTGACTGTGCGCCCAATTAATCAAATTCTCTTCAGCGAAAGAACAGGGGAAGAAGACGTCTCACTCACCTGGTTTACTGGACCTCGGGTCCAATTGGATGCTTTCTTGTTTTCCGGCTCAGAATAACGACACACAGTTTATCGAGAGGTCTGCTCTTTCCCGGAACCCCTTCTCGGAGCAATACGGAACCAGTCGATTCAACAGCTCCCCCGTGACTCGGCGAATACTTCTCGTAATCGCGGATGTTTCCGCCGTTTTCTTTGCGACAGGGGAAGAAGTTACTGGTTGTGTTGTTTTCGCTCGAAGCCTTTCGACGGCGGTCACTAATTCTCGAGCGTAAGTTAAAATTGGCGATCGGATGGTTCAACAAGTCAACTCGAGTAGTTCGGAGAGAAACACTACTGATCAACAAGTTATGAGGAGACCCCTGAGGTCTGAACGATGACGGCTTGCGGCGTGACGATTAAAGCGTGGCGGATGAAGTCGATCAACGGAGGCAAAAACGATGTATCCAACAGGTTTTCCAGAGGGCTTAGTGTTGGATGGATGGGTGTGGGCCGAACGAATTATGAGATCAACGAGTTCAACGAATTCGTTTACTGGGCAGTGAAAGTCACGTGATGAAAAACGACTGCGGTAGGAGCGAGCGAGCGCTCATTTGCGTGAGCTATTCTCGCGAAGATCTAGACGAGAGGCGAATATGATGATGATGCTGCTGCTGCTGATAAAAATGATGGGAAAATCCAATTCAAGAGACACCACACTTGAGAAGCAGGGAGGTGCTCTCTTTTTTCCTTGTCCTTATCCGTCTTTATCCCGGTCCAGCAGTTTGAGTTAACGGAGCACCTCCCGCTGCAGGTCTCTAGCAACTTGCCAGATAGTCGTTCGGATGGAATCGCTAGGACGCCATGGGTTTTCGGGTTTCAGATTTCAGCGCAGCTCGATCCCGCAACCGTGGCCAGGCCGACAGTGCTGGGCGGACCGGCACCCCTCGTCTCCATATCGAGAGGTTGCTGTTTTCGCTCGCTAACTACGCACAAAACACAACGCGTTGAGCACACACGCACAGATGTTCGTGATGTTTCGCAAGATTACAACTCACACAGAACCGAATGCACTGAAACCAACTTCACATAAACTCCGCAATTCAGCGGTGTACTGATCGATGAAGAAGCTAAATGCTCGATCGAGCGAGCGACCGATCGAACAAGCGACCGACTCACACTGCCTGCCTGCTCGCTTGCCTGTCTGGCTGCTAGCCGGTCTCTCCGTGCCCGGGTGGATGTACACAGAGGAGAATAGAGGAGCCCCAGGAGCAGCCGGTACGACGATGCGGGACCTCCGCATCGACAGCGCCCCCTATCCGGGCCCCGCTGAAGTAGATGGGCGATTTCCAACAATTGTCCCGACCCACAACCGAATAACTTACAAAAACGCTGCCGAAGACGCTGCGTTAGGGTTCCGCTTGTCAAAACGTCCCCATGAGCGGCTCGGGAACCATTCCTGGACTTGGGCGAATTGCGCGGTAATCGCTCATTATTTCCACTCCGATTCCGACCGACTCCGGATTGGTGGTCCGGATACGCATTAGGAACGGCTAAAGACCTCGATTGATGGTCAGGACTTATCCGGCACTCCCTCCCCGCCTCATTTGGCTCCGTCATGCGACACCCCAATCGAGCGGGTATTTTTTATTTCGTTCAGCGGCGACTCCTTGTTTCCCCCTGCCAGGTGGGACGACAGAGGCGAATCAGAACATCCCGTGACTTGCTCAGACGCAACTCGACCGACGTGACCGTGTCACAGAGTCTCAAGGGCGACTGCTAACAAAGATTTGTCTCTGAGACTGGCGACTCGGTCCCTGCACCCGGGTTCATCGATCCGGACACACGCTTGACAGGAACAGGGTTCGATCTGCAGTCCAGTTTAACCTGCACACTCGCAGGCGAGTGTCGTCGTCTTACAATTAGCTGCGTCTCCTCCCGACTCCTTGCCGTTATATTGAAACAAAAGTTTGGTGGTGACTGTTGGAGATTCCTGCATTCATTCAAAGGTCAATCTGCCGGAAGGCTCCTGGGACATGGCGAAGTGGCGGAAAAAATTGGAGCATGTAATCCGCGCCACGTGAATGCGGAGCAGTCATCGGGGGCACAGAATCTCCAGCTCTAGATTCCCTCCGGTGAGGGTCAACGCATCACAAATCCACCTGCTCCGCAGAGGATGCGTGTGTTGGCAGACCGAAGCTCCTGAGTTACGGACGAGCGGTTTAGTTGCCTCTTTGCCAGCGTGACTGCCTGTTTGCCTGACACTTGCTTTAATCCGTGTCGCTTTTGGCTGCTCGCAAACGTCCCAACCTCTTCTCCTGCTCCCATTCACAGCAGTTGCGCCTGGAGCAAAGTCCGGTCAGAGACTCCGGGGTCGAATACAGATGTTTGTGGCGATCGAAGCAAACGGCGACGAATGGCTTCCTTCCCGTTCTGTCCGGAGAATGAGCAGAGCATGCCGAAAGCATTCTCGATGAGGCTGCGAGAAGAGGCTCTTCGGTGGTCATCCCTCGCGTCCAGTTGTGGAAGCATATCCTATCCTCCCCGACTGGGCCCACCGTTTTCGCAAGTTCGCCTCGATCTCCTTCTGGTCAATTCGCCGGACTCTATTACTTTAATTAAATCTCCGTCAAGTCACTATCCATCATAGAATTTCAGAAACTTCGGGAAAGTGGGATCTCAGGTCGACGCTGACAGCGGCGAGACCCCTAGTGCGGAACCTTCGGATTATTGCATTCGGGACGGGGGCAGAGAGGTTGCGACGGCGAATTTCATCCGAGGGATCTTCATAGTTTAATTCCGACATCCTTAGTCTCACATGCGAGCACTTCCGCACGTTCTTTACCGGGGAGAATACCCAGGACAGCTTCTTCGGCCAGAGTTTTTTTGGTGGCGTAAGTTTCCACCAAGTATCGTCTGACCCTGAGGTCCAGCTCAGCTGTGACATCCATCTGAACCATGTACCTGAAATGTGAGACAAGCAAATCCTATTACTTACGCAACTCGAATCCAGTCGGTTGGCCAGGAGTCGAGCTCCACCGATGAAATTCAATGACAAGTTCCGCACTCAAATAATTATTCCGAGATCCACCAAGCATCGATCGCGAGAGGGATAGATAGATAGATCCCACGAAGATCGCAGAGCTTACTCAAAACCTCTCGGAATCTGACCAGGATAGCAGATTTGTCTTGAATTCGACTAAATCCCATTTTAGCCGCCGCACTCTGTTCATTGAGCTTGTGGACCCGATTCGGGATCGGGGCCGCTTGTCTGGCCACGGCTCCCGGGCTCGTCCGACGAAACACGGAAAAGCCTATCTGGCCCGGTCGCCGCAATCTACCGAGCTCAGATGTGATTACGAGACGGCGATGATCGTTCCAGCTGGTCGTCCCGACCGCCCATTCGGAACACTTACTCGGAGGTACGCTCTCACTCTGAACGACAATGACAGCGTATCGATACGTATACCGCTCGAAATCACTGATGCGAGCCCACTGTGCCGTATCGCTGTTTTATGCGGTGCTACACTCGGTGGGAAGTCTCGATTGCGTGCCATGGGATTACGCTCTGGGCTCGGGCGACGTGCCGTTTTCCAAAGAGAAGTGCCGACCGACCGGTCGGATCCCGCGCTCTGGGACGCAAAAACACTCCGATGTTTATGTTCGAGCAGGATCAACTTGTGAGATTCAATCACAAGGGAGTCTCTAATCGGGAATCCCAGTCGGCGCTCGATGATGACTGTATTGTGCGACAGATTCCGGTTGAGAACCGATGGTCAAGAATGGCCTCCGGGCAGTTTTTGTCGCGAGCTCTTGTATGACGGATATGGAGCACATCAGGGAGTTGTTTCGTAGCAAAGTTTCCCTAGCTGGAATCGAGAGCAGCGGAGAGATAAAACGAAACGATGCTTCTACTCGCTGGCTCCGGGACTCACCTGACGACCATATCCATTGACTCCTGATACTCCGCCTTCCCACGCACAGCGGTCGCAACGATATCCTTGATTTGACCGAGGATGAACGCGAAAATGAATGACCCTGTGAGAGATCCCAAGCGCGCAATGAAAACATCATCGTATAGGAAGATGTCATGAAGAACAACTTGATCAATTGGTCACTATTCTCGTGCGATCTAACCTTCGAGCCAGAGAGTCGCCATGAAGATGTACTCCCACTCGTGCGTGGGTCTCGCGTTTTTCCCGATACCAGCTGCTGTCTTGAAACTAAAATAAAAGCAGCGGATGTACACCAGCTCCCCTTCGCCTTGGAGAACGAATGAGTTGGAGCCGATGCCTGAGGGACAATGAGAGAAAAAGCTGAAGTCGGAACGATAAGGTTCTACCGTCGCTCGAGCGGTACCATGGCTATGTAGGCTCAATCGGGCACCTTGTATCCTCGAGATGACGTAGTAGGCGCAAGCATTCAAATGTATCACGAGCAGCATGTAGGAAACTATTCGAACGAGGCGCCAAAGGAAAGCATTCTGAAATCATTTGTTCCGTTCCCGATATGGATTATTATCTTCGTCTCAACGAAGAGGTATGTTTCTCTTCATCAACTAAGTTCTCGATGGGATATATTGAGCGAAACTTCGGAGATTCAACTCGTGGTCATGGACAGAACTCTTTCCCTCTTCGGATTCTGGAGCGGAAAAGTTTCGGAGCGCAACTATCAACTTTTCCCATTTTAATGCAAGTGATGATTATCCCCGTTTCTCCCGGAGATGACGAAACTAGGAAGGCCGCTCTACAGATCTCCCCACCTCCCGTCCACCGGAAACCTACCTTGGAAACCATTTCCATTTTCTCGAAAACTACGAGGTAGCTCTCAATTCTCAAAAGACGATTATATCTGAGCAGAGGAGCGTAGACTGAAAATTTCGTCACGATGTAGTCCAGCGGCACGAGTGAGAGGAGATCGCGCCTCAATAATGGTCCATCAAGGTACTTCCTCGCAGTTTTGCCAAATGATTTCACGGCAGTTCCAGACTGAAGAAGGATTATCATGAGAATAGGACTGAAAAATTCGCTTGAAGAATCTTCTCCGAGAGGAAAGCGTTTGAATAAAGTGCCCCCTGACGCATCGCGGATGAGGTGACTGATAAGCTTACCTTGTAGAACCTCTCCCGAGGCCTCAGAACGATGATATCGATAAAATAAACAACGTCGCAGAGTATGTCGCAAGGCTGGAACAGTTGCGAGGTGTCGCCTACCCAGAAAGAAACCCTCAACAGGGGAGTCCATGCGTTGTAGGCGTACGCCGCAGCCACCAACAGTTGCCAGGCCACATACCTGTCAGTCAGAGAGCTTTCGATGTAGACGGCGGAGTATCTCTCTGGAGATCGGAGGAAAAATTCTCGAGGCGGGGGACGAATAAGCGGAATAAACCGCGACGCTGCGAATCGGACCGGAACACCGGAGTCGAACTCTTTCCTGCTTCGTCTGAGATCGGCTTCGTTCGTTATTGGAACAAGCAGTAATCCAATCACGTCGGCTGGTTCGATTCGCTGGGCGATACTTCAAGAGAGCATGGGAGCCGGGAAGCCCAGATTCAGACGAGCTCACAACCTACCTCGGTTCCTGTGGATCGAAGGTTTTCCTCGTCAACTGTTTCCATTTCTGGAGAATTTCAGCAGACGGGAGGTCGCTCGGAGCTACTCGGTTCATGGCGAACGAGTGTGGGGTGAGACATTAGGGTGGGCTTCGACTCGTTCGAATTGATCGGATGGAATCGACAGATGACCAGGGAATTGACCGAGATCACGCGAGCGGTGTGATCGAGCCAATACTTGCTCTCGGGGAGGGCACGATAATTGCTGTTGAGCACATCGACGTTTCCGATGCCTGCAGTGAGTCTCCGAGAGCGAAGCTACGAGCTAATTGGTGCAACCGGTATCGAAAGTCTTGATCGGTGTACGTCGGAGAGATGAGGATGGATACCGTGCGAATCCCGGCACTTAGGGATCTTTTTTTTGAGCAGAGGAATGATCCCTGGATCTGTCTCGACCCGGCGTCTCAGCTGAACCTTGGCCTCGCGACTCTCCCAAAGAATCACTCACACGGACGGACGATTCGCAGACGCAAGTTTTCCTAGCGGGAATCTCCAGGAGTCTTCTCGACGTATTCATGAGATGAGCACGGAAGCTCTCCAGTTCGAGGAGAAAATCTCACGTCACATCGATTCGCCGAGGACGGTGGAAATTCCGAAGTGTTTCTCAGAGTGCGGAGGAGTCCCGACATCGGGATGAATCGCATTAGCGTGCTTGATCACCGACATATGGGGGCGATTAAAAACTCGGGTCGACTAATTTGCATTGAGAGACATTGCGCCGTATATTCGCGATATCCAATTCGTGATAGATTTTCGCTGTCTCCTGGACGAATAACGGAGCTTCCCACGAACATCTGACACCAGGGGAAGCATCGAGCGATTCTCGTACGATGAAACCGCCCGAAACCGCAGGAAGCGTCCGAGATCGAATTCGATGCGGAACATGGCAGAGAGTCTCTCCCCGAGTGGGGGGTTACCATGGTCTGATGCTCTTCCGAGCCTGTCCCCCACGGAGAGCTCTACGATTTACTCGAGTAGGACCGACATTAGGTAGATGGACTTCATGTTTCCTGTTGGCTCAAAATCGTGTGATTCCACTGGGAATTTTCGGAAGAAAAACTCTGCAAAGAGGTCTCGCCAAAGAACGGAGACGTCATTGACTATCCGGGAATAAGCCAAGCGCGAATCTCTTCGACGGAGAAGACAAAAAAAATGAACGCCAATTAACAAATCCCTACGACGCCGACGATCTGATCCATTCGCTCTCGGATTGTCTCCTTCGGAAATATCCATCGGAACTTCCGCAAGGCTCGCGGCTCCGGGCCTCGGTAGGCAGGGACACGTTCGAGATTCGAATGCAATGCTCTGATCGAGCATGGATGGGTACTGGAATGGTCACCACTTCATTGTATCGTGGACTCATAGAAATCAGAGCGCCGGAGGATTCCTCTCGTAATGGCTGTCGAAGGGGGCTGGATGGAAAAAGACTCAGCCGTCAAGCGTCCGAGGAGTTGCTCCGAGCTGCCTGGCTCAGCGTAGCTACAATCGGTCCCACCGTCCGAGTCAGGTGTCTTTCCGTGATCTGAAATACGGAGGGAACGGGGAGCGCAGTCGAAAAAAGACAAAGGGTCCATTTTACGAGTTTGCTGCTTCCTCGTACGTGATCGTTTTGGATTCAAGACGGAGGCTCCGTGTGGAGAAGGATCAATGTTGAAGGATGACTCTGAGGGGGAATCGCAGGCCGAGAGCAGCCATAGAGAAGCGGATCATCTCGAACATTGCTAGTCGCCTTCTCAGGTGTCCATCTCCCAAATAGCGAGAGACGACCGAATAGACACCCAGGGGGTTGAGGGGCGGGAAACATTCCATACACAACTGGATCTTTGATGAGTCCTCAAGCCTGAAAGGAACTTATCCACGGAAGACTCAAAGACGAAAATCACGGGACGATGTGTTAGGAGTATCTCTTCGTAAATCAATCCAAATCAGCTAACGGAAGGGGGGGGGCGAAGTATTTAGATCTCGCTGGTGCTGTCTCGGTTCACATGAAGGGAGTTTCCATTTGATTGGAATTTTGAGGGACCATCGGAATGAATCGATCCGGGTTGCCACGCGCCGCCGATTTACAGAACGATGAGATTCTGACGGTTGATTCGAGATGAAGGATTCTCTGTATGCCCAGAGTTGCTCTCAAGATCGGGGAATATTCGTATTGATGATTGGGTGCGAAGACTTCGTAAGGACTATGTGCTGGACGGAAGGATATCTTGGGACAAAGCGTGGAGGACTCGCGAGATCGCCTCCGCGCGAGGGTTTGTGGCACGAACTTGAGAATCGTAGCTGAGTACTTGTAGAAAATCATTCTTATCGATCACGCTCAGCAGCCAAGTTTAGATCCCTCTTTCGTTTGTTCAGCGATGAGGTCCTCCTCAGAAGGCACGGCGGTCTCCGGGCCATGAAAAGGGTTCCAGACCAGGCCCAGAAGATGAAAGAAGCTTGCGATGATGAAGCGAAACTCCGAGGCCCGAAATATATACACTGTCGGACGAATTCATCGTCGAGGCTGTGTGACTCGCATCGCATCTCAATGATTGTCACCCCGTGCAATCTCATGGGGACTCCGTCCGAGCCATTCTATGGATCTCGGTAACTCGGCAGATAACGCCCAGCCGAGCCGATATCGAAGCATTGTTCAATCGCAGTTGAAATTTGATGCCCGATTCCTCCCCTGGAAATTCCTTCCGTCCCTTGGCTCCACGGCTCCGAACCCACTTCTCTTCCTTTTGGAGCCGATCTCGATCACGATGCGGCTCTCGAGTATTCTATTCGTGGATGCCGAAATCAAATTCCTCCCACATACCCACGTGGGCAGCCAGAAGACCGGAATCGGTGCTTACGGAGGGAATACTCAGGCTTCCCTTATAAAACCACACTTTTTTTGCGAGCTGAAGCACATATTTCCTCGATGAGGAGAGCGAGACAAAGCTCTGTTGACCGCGTCGAGCGAGTCCTTCGATGCTGCTCTCAAAAGCACAATAATTCTTACATAATTTCGCCCGCTGAGAATCCAGAGCGTGAAAATGACATGTCCCGCAGCTGTCGTGCTTGCGCTTCAAATCGGCATCTTCGTCTTAACGGTTTCCTGGCCGACGAAAATGATGACTTCCATTCCCGTTTCCCGTTCAGTCGGCGAGCGAGCGGCTCCTTCGCCGAACGTTCCGTTCAGTGCTTTCTGAAAGGAGGGAAACGAATGATTCCTCCACGGAACGTCCGCAAGGGAACGTCCTTTGTTGCTTATTTCGTTTCTTTTTTCTTCAAAACAAAAATCCCACAAGCTCGCACGTCACTGCTGCTTAATCGATTCGGCAAATTCCATTCGGACACGTAACTAGGAAGTTGAGCGAACTTGAAACTTTTTATATCTGAATGCTTGTGACAGGTTCAAGGAGACTTCAGAAGCGGGAAGTCTGATCGACTGATCAATCGTCTGAGTAACAAAATCAAACTGCACACTTATGCAGAATTGAAGATTGATTCCTGAGAACGAAGTTCCCCTTATTCAAAACCCGGGGGGTGAGCTTCCGTGACGGGTGATGGAACTCATGGAAGCGGTCGGTTGACGTTCGCGTACAGAATCCTCGTTTCTGGCCATCCCATTCAACGTGACGTAATACTCCATCAGCGGCGTGTCGCCGTATGCAGTCATAATGGTTCTCAAGCCATGAATGATGATCTTCATCATCATTTCCAGCGGTAAGCCACTCTGGAGGTTTGAGCTCCATTGGATATCCATGATTCCCAAGCGCGGAGTCGGCGATTCCTCGGCATACTTTCCGAGGCGCTTCAGTTTTTCGCACCGTGACATGATGATGATCGTCACCATGCGTTTGGTATGCAGTGGAATGCCCGATGCGCTCGAGAGGATGACTTCCCTGAATGAGAATCTGACCGTAGCCGAGCAAATCATCTCGCTGAAGATGGGGATTCTCGGTACCCTTGGCCGGAAATGCTACCTGACGGGATTCGACGACCAGGGTACTTTGTTCCATTCGGTGACATTGGACATAGAACAAAGGACATCAGTCTGCCAGAGAATAAGTATACGTACAGAGCAGAACAGCTCAACAAATTGAATTCTTACACTCGCTCACATATCTACATAGACGCTCGATCAAAGAGGGAGAAGTGACTTGGAGGTCGATTCGAATCCGGTCCATATCGTTTGATGACTTCCTCGTTATGAGGAGCCAAGATAAACAGCCGGGGGCCATACGACCCACTCGCCCATCCGGCGGACTCATCGTTCGCACTCTTGAATAGAGGAACCAGTCACCCGAATCCGTTCTCGGAGTGTGTCGTCGCTCGATTCAACATTGAGTGACTACCTCCGATAGATTCACTCGTGATTCAATGCTCTGCCATCGAAACAGCATTGGAGTGCTTCCAGCCGGGAAGTACCAGGAAGGGAATATTCTGCTGAGATAGCCGGGAGTCCGCGTGTTCTCCGAACCTAAGTTGAATCTTAATAACGGAGCATCGATTGATAGGGAAATACTTCAAGGCGAAGTATCCAAGCACATATAGTCTGAGTAGCTCTATTCGGATTGCCTCCTTCCTCTCGTCGAAAGCCCTCACTGTTGGGGCTTACCTCACCCCGGCTTGCTTTGCCACAACATAACGGCCCCAGTCAGCTCCAGAAGCGATCCCAGTGAGCGGTAGTTCTTAGCAGTGCACGAGTGCTGTTCTCAGCAGTGGGAAGTAAACATTCATCGCTAGCTCACGGAGGCGCCATGCTGCTTCTTGGAGTGTCAGCCCTCATCCTAATTTCAGGTAAGAAGTCCGGACGGTATTGTCTCAAGGCCTCTGGAATTCCGCTTCCTGGTTCCTGAGCGACTCTGAGAAACAATGTAGCGCTAGCTTCGCTTAAGTGTTAATTACAGCGTGACAAATTGGCGGCGACCAACGAAGCCACCGGATTCTGATTGCCGACTTAATTATTAGCAGCCGAGAACACGGACGAAACTCGTTCTTTTTTTATCTTTTATGCCCACGATTACGAATTATTAGCAAACTATCCCGACGCGTCCGTTCGGGCGCATCTTTCTGTCTGAAAATTCCTCAACCCTTCATTCAACACTCGCGGAGTTTTTCATTGGTCGCAGAAAATGTGTCATCGACGCGGAACAGAATTTTTCTTTTCAATCGGACCAGGAGCCAGTGACGCGGAACCGGGGGTCAAAATGTCAAAACTGAATGTCGGCTCGGATCGTTTGTCCATTGGTTCTGGACTCAGCATTGATTAGCTCATTAACTGAAGTCGATGGAATCGCTGTGGTTGCACAAGCGTGAAAGAGCTGCCGACCCAATAGAGCTAACTAGAATACCTCTCCGGGGGGAGACGCATGCACACCTGTGAGGTCAGGAATGTATAGTGGATCGTGACACTCGCGGGGTTAAATTAACTTTGGTGTGACGCAATTCGCGAGAAGCGATGCCGGTTTTCGGTCTTCGGGAAATTAATTTTGTCACTATCGGGTGCGCAGATACAAATCACCAAAAAATTCTGCGCCGGTTGACTGGGCTTGATCTCGATGGAGGATTTCGCATGTTTCTCAAGCTCTTGTATGGACAAGATATTGGGCATATTTGTTCGAATTCGATCCCAACCTGTTGTGTTCGTTTCCATTTTTGGCTCCGATGCGAAAATATAAACACCTACTGTGTAAACGTGTAAGCCCGTCCTGCAGAAGTTACCGGTCCGTTGATAATCACAGACACAGGAAAACCAGGATCGCTTACTTGTGATGTCGAAGCTCTTTCGTATAGCGAACTGGATCATTTCTCAATTTTCAGCATTAATCACCTGAGTTGCGGTGGTGCATTTGTTGTCTCGCCATGTTTACATCAGCTTGGGGAGCTTGCGAGCGACAGGCATCCCACGGCGTCAAGCATCGGTTCCGAGGGAATAACTCGGGGTGACTCTCAGAAACCTCCTGAGAATCCCATCGGGTAGATATTAGAAGCTTCAGGAAGATCCGAGTCCAAATGTCTCATCTGTAGAAAGGGTGAATTCTCCCACAAAGTGATGAGACAGCTCCGATCGCAAAGATCCTCTGGCACGATGCGGACCGGTTCCGAGGACGAGGAGCAATACTACTCCCGAACCTTCAGACGGAGGGTTTCATCACAGATCGACTATCGGAGAAGAAGTAAATTCCCCCTCCGATCCGCGAGAATCGTCAGGTCGGGCGAACAGATCCACTCCCCGGGCCACATGCGATTTCAAATGAAAGTAATCCGCCGGGAATGTATCAGCTCTATTGAGAGGCGCTCCTCCGGAGTTCGCGAACCAGCCCGGTCTCGCACAAAAGGCAGCCGATTAATTGCCGGATCCTTTATACGAGGCCTCCATCATCCAGTATATTTATTTAATCTGACCGCTCCTACTATGAAAATGATTTACGCAAGGGAGAACGGGATCGAACGATGTTCAGGAGCTCGGATGAGTTTGTGACTGATCCCCGAGACTAAATCCCATTGGCTCGAACACGAACATGTCCGAAGGTAAGTGTTCGTGTGTAAGCGGAGGAAGCTAGTAGACAACTAGCACGCAATCGAGTTTTTACGCTTCCGGGGGGAATCGCTCCTTACATCGGACCGCGACCGAAATCCCGTCCACTCGAACTGGAGTCCCACAAGTTCCCGAACTCCCGAGGGTCGGGTCCCGTTATTCTAACGTCTCCGGCATTCTAAAGAAGGAGTCCAGCGATAACTCTTCGTAATTTTTGTGAGGCTGTTTTCGAATCCCACGTCAAGCCCGGCCGGGTGCTCGTCCTTAAGCGGGCGCGCATGCGAAAAGGCTAAGAATGAGCTCAAAGGCGATACGACCGTCATAGGGAGCGCGATCCGCATCGCTGAGTTCAGCTTCATCGATTCATAAACGTGTCAGACTGTGATTTCAAATTCTGGGGTCCTGGCCATTTCGACTACTGCGAGAAACGAGAAGCGTTTTCGGGAGTTCCTCTGTGAATTCCTCCGACATGAAAACTGCTCTCGCGAACCTTCAGCCCAAAGCGAGGGTTTCGAGGAATATATCACGCAGAGCGCGCGGTGTCTGACATATTTTCCATCGCAGATTGGAAGCGCAGACCGCATGGATGCCCTGTCTTGAATGACATCTCTTTGAGCTATTTACGAAAATCGTAGGTCTAATTACTAATCAGATTCGGAAAGTTGCCTGATCGGCTAGTACCCGAGTCTGCCATAGACGGACAACATCTTCAATCGATTTTCTCCCTCGAGGTCTATTTTTAGTCGCTTGGAGCGATTTACCGTTTCGGAACATCGCGATGTTCCGCCGTCTGGCGATGGAGGCGAGTGGGGTCTCTCGGTTTATCTTGGAACACTCAAGCGAAACACCGCGAAAGTTCGCGGAAGCTCAATTGTTTAGATGTTTCGATTCAGACAAGAATTTCGGTTGCTCTGCATCTCCTGAAAACTGATTAGGTGACATGGCTCCCTCCTCACGGTGGGCAGCCCACCTTTTTTTCCCTCGAGTGAACTTCCCATTGCTCTATCGAGATATTCATCTCTCAGATGCGGGAATCCCTATTTTACTCGGGCCCAGTGTCACGCACATTGTCCCCGATTCGGAATTCCTGCGCGATGGAGCTGTCGATCCCAAGACTTTTAGGAGGGAGGATGATGACCTCGCGCGACGATCTCCTTTGGAATAGAATTTCCAAGATGGATACAAAGCCATGACGAATTGGTGGAATATCAGGTCGCAATGAATCTGTGGAAGTAACCTTAGACAGGTTTTCGAAGAGTGATCATGCCCCTTGGAGAAAAGAAATAATTTTTCTTCGGGTCACACTGCGGTGGAGAGTCAATGACACAAATGATAAGTTCTCCGGGGGAGGTACGGGGAGGGTGAGCTTGGAACAAGGAGAGATGTGCTGGATCCTTCTATATAGACTCTCAGACCGCGAGGCGAGTTCCGCGAGGGCTCCAGAAGGAGGTGAAAGTCTTGCAAAGAGCTATCGATCTGTATCAGGTCGTGGGGCAGGTCTTCGCATTCATCGGCAGGGCCTTCGTGGGAGCCACTGAGCTCCAGCTCTGATCTATTCGCTTCCATGGATTAGATATTTGATTTTCTCAAGCGAAAAAAAAATGTTTCATGAGGTCGATCCTGCTGCCAATCGGCTTACCCTTCGTTGGATTCAACCTCGAAAACAGTGGAAGCAAACAAGTCATCCACAGAATAAGAGCGGCATCCCTCGACGACAAAGATAACTTTTTTCGAAGCAGATTACTATTACCTCCACGGAATTAATGCGGGGCTATTTTTTCAACATAGAAATCAGCTTTTAGCGTGGCGTTCGACAGAAAAAAATGCTTAGAGTAAAAATATCACTCCTTTGGAGGGGAGGACTTGATAGAACACGACTTGGACTGGCGGAGTCAATAAAATATTGAACCCTTGAAAGCCTAGGCAAGCCGCCAACGCGACTTAAGCCCCACCAAGGCTCAACGCGCGTCGACACAGGCACCGTTGAACCGCGAGTGAGCGGCGCGCGCCGACCTTCACCTCTCGCGCACAAGACTTACGTAAAGAATTATCGTCATCTTTATTATTATTCAGACTAGTGGTGCGACAGATAATCAATTGAGTTTCGTTCTTCGGCTGAAGGGTGGCCGAACGGCTTCGCAAAATGGAGCGGAACTCCGTAAGATCTGTGACCTTACCGCCGCTGCATTCTCCTTCCTCTCAAATTCGAATACCTCCCGAAGAATCTTGGTCACTTCATGTCAAAGCGGATAATCCATGCAGGTTACAGACCCGCCGATACTTGCTGATGTCCTACGCTTTCGTTTATTGATTGGCTCATTTTCTTCTTCGCGAGCGGAGAATTTTCAAACTGAAAATTCATGAGGCGTGCTCGTTCCGGGCTCCTGGTGACTGGGAAAGTGTGAACGAAAGTTCGGCGGCGCGATCCCAGATATAGGGTCCCATTTTCCGAATCGCGCCACGG